GACGAATGGCCCACTTGAGTCAAACATTTTAATTAATTAAGCGCGCTCTGGCTCAGTGCAGCAGTTCAAAAGCGCTCGTCAATGTCAAAATGTTTGAAATAGCCAATCAAATCGAAGAAGGCGATTTACTGTTCACAGAAGCTGAGCTGCGCACCACTTGAATGCGAGCTGAGATAAGATAAGCAGCTGAACATGACGAGACAATTCAGCAATATTTGTCAACTGTTTACGATAAAAAAAAAAGTTAAACGACAGACATTACTTTTCAGGGATGCAAACTACTGGCATTTTCGAATTTATTAATGCCATTTACGTTATTCGTCACAATATAAGATAAGAGTGAATGTTTGTAAATCTCTATCCAGGCTTTCTTCTGTAATTTCACGTGTCTAAACAAAAAGAAAAAAAAAGTTAAAAAAAATATATATATCATTCATATCAAATGTGAAGACTTTCGCTTTCAAGTGCCGTGATTAGGAAAGTGATATATAGGCCTATTATAGCCTAATAAAAATATTATTTGCTATTTACATCACATGCATTATTTTATATACACACTGGCGGTCAAATGTTTCAAATAATTAAGACTTTTTATTTATTAATTTATTTATTGAAAGAAGGCTGAATTTATTTGATAAACAAACAGTAAAAATAATAATATGAAATATTGTGGTTTTCTATTAAAGATATTTTAAAATGTAGGCTAATTTATTTCTGTGATTAAAGCTGAAGCTGAAAGCTAAATTCTTTCAGTCATTCATAAAATAACGTTACTGTCACTTTTTTATTAATTTAATGCAACCTTGTTGAATAAAAGTATTAACTTATATACATTTTTAAGCTTACCCTAGACTGAATAGTAATGTATCACATTTTCCACAAAAATATGAAGCAGCACACTGTTTTCACAAAATTGATAATAATCAGAAATGTTTCTTAAGCAGCAAATCAGCATATTAGAATGATTTCTGAAGGACCAATAGAAAGTTACTATAAAAACCGTCCAAATTCTGCACTACATCCCAAGTCTTCTAGAGCAGAGCACTGGTGTCATATGGACTTATATTATGGTATGCATTTAACTTTAGTGATATTAAACTGTCCCTCTAAAAGAGATGTGTAAAAATTCTTCTAAATTATTTACTATTTGTCATATACACCAGGAAAGACAAATTATAATGTAAGAAGTATGCCAGTTATTCATTAATGTTAATGATAAGAATTTCAATTATATATATATATATAAAATAGTGGTGTTAAAAATTGCTCTGTGCATAATGAGCTGGTGGGTTTATGGTGTGGTGGGCCGCTCTGTGCCAGAAAATCCAGGGCCACTTTTTATCCCCAGTCCACCCCTGTAAAGTCCTATTGCGAGCCTGCTCTATACTACAGGAAGATGTTGAGCAACCTTATTTACAACCGTATTTCCGTATAGTAGTAAGAATCATTCTGAATCATTGAATCACTAATCATTCTTTTTTGTCCTGCGATGAAATAAGCTGCCCAGTAAGATATGTATGAAGGTAAATCAGTAGCTAAACTCGAGAGCTTACTGATTTGAATGTGAGATCTTGCCATATTAATATCCGTATTTGTAAGTTGAAATTTATACTCACAGCTTTGATGTGAAAAGCTGAATCTCTCGATTTGCACAGACAGACAATAATCAAAACACCCGTGTTTTGAATTCGAAGCTGCAAATTAATAGTTACAAATGTGTAAAATGGCATTCACATAAACAAAATGACAGACACAATGTGCACGACATATTTGCTTTTGCTCTTTACTTCAGTTTCGCTGTACAACCACAAGTCAGCACTTACAACCTCTCAGATCTGGCAGTACAACTTCAAATCCTAGCGCTTTTGACTTTTGCTACTCCTTTCACGATATTCCTGTAGCAAAACTCACTTGTGCACTTGTACATGCAGATGTGCAAATTGGGGGTGCTCCGATTGATTGGCTACCGATCACTATCGGCCGATAATCACGTTACTTCAAACGCTGGCGCTTTGACTTTTGCTACTCATTTCGCAATATTCCTGTAGCAAAACTCACTGGTGCACTTGTGCCATCACACTGCTCCACCATGTTTCAGAGATGATGTTGTATGCTTTGGATCATGAGCTGTTTCAAGCATTCTCCATACTTTTTTCTTCCCGTCATTCTGGTACAGGTTGATCTTAATTTCAGCTGTCCAAAGAATGCTTTTTTAGATGTTTTTTTGGCCAAGTCTAATCTGGCCTTGTTTGCACCTTGTGGTGAACCCTCTTTATTTGCTCTCTATAGTCTTCTCTTGATTGTAGACTTTGACAGTGACATGCTTACCTCCTGGAGAGTCTTCTTTACTTGGCTGGATGTTGTGAAAGGGTTTTTCTTTACCATGGAGAGGATCCTCCGATCATCCACCACTGTTGTCCTCCGTGGATGTCCAGGCCTTTTTATGTTGCTGAGCTCACCAATGCATTCTTTTTTTTTTTCTCAGAATGTACCAAACTGTTGATTTGACCACTCCTAATGCTCCTGCTATCTCTCTAATGGATTTGTTTTGTTTTTGAAGCCTAACAATTGTCTGTTTCACCTGAATGGAGATCTCCTTTGACCGCATGATGTGGGTTCACAGCAACAGCTTCCAAATGCAAATGGCACACTGTCCAATTACTTATGGTTGAAAAAGGACGGAGGTACATATTAAAGAGCTGTAATTCCTTAACCTTTCCTCCAATTGTGATGAGAATACCCTCAAATCTCAGTGTGTGCAATTTAAGTTTATATTCATTATGTAACTTGAATATGTTTTGGTCAGCAGCTAAAATAATAAAAATTGTGCCTGTGTCCAAATATATATGGACCTGACTGTATGTGTCCACTAAAAAGCTGTCACTCACTTAAGTTCATTATGATCTCACAAAGTTCCGTTATAATAAATTAATCTCTTATTTATCACATCTACACTTTGTTTGTTATAATGAGAGGATTCTCAAGCCTGCAGAACTCAGCACTGAACAAAACTCTGGCATTTTGAGCAGTGAGTGAATTCTGACTCTGACTGGCCATTGCATTCAAGAAACCAACAGATATGTCTGTGATTGGCTACATTGCTCAATGCTGCAAAACAAATTGTAAATAGAAACTTTTGACACTCCACTGAGCGTGAACACAAATATGCACTGGAGCATTTGCCAAATCTGTTTCACCAATTTCCTATTTTTAGCACCTCAGTTGAGGGTGCTAAGCACTCTATAGGACCCCTGTATAACTGTGCTGGGCTTTTTAACAGTTTATGTGCCTTGTGGTTCTATGCGCCAAAATTTAAGTGCTTCTTTTCTCAGTGGTAAAAGACCATAGGCTGATCAGCTCAATAGTGGGTTGCGCCACCTAGTGTGCAGGCAAAAAATGTATTTTCGGTCAGTGCCACCTATCATACAGAAAAGCCAAAAACAGTTGTTTCCTTTTCAGTGTGTAGGCACCGTTCATCTGCAATTCACTTTGCTTTATCATGTCTCGCTAAGTGTGAAAGGGCCTTCAAGTAGGAAAACATTTGTCAAATTTGTTTGATTTGGTTATTTTACTGTTCTTTACATACTATTTTAATTTTAATAATATTTCAAAGTAGCTTTTATTTTAATATTTTCAGCTTTTTATATTTGCTATTTTAATTTGAACAATTTTGTTTAGTTTTAGTCATTTTGTTATGTGCTTTTACCATTTTTATTAATTTTAGTTTTTTCTATTTAGCTTTGACTTTTTATTTCTAATATTTATATTTTATTTTATTTTATTTCAGGTTTTAATAGTTTAGTTAACTATGACAACAGTGGATGCAGGTGCAAATGCCTTGTAGACTTCATGATTTCAAAGAATCAATTAATGTTTTTTTTTTTTTGGACTGATACAAAAGTGACTAAATCAGATTCAATGCTGCATTGCTTGTATACAAAAGCATCTCTGTTGACTGACTTTTACCTTGCCTAAAACCCTTCAGAATTCTCTTGAATGGTTTTATGGCACTTCAAGATAAAGTTTTGTTACATCCGATGTTGTTCTTCATTATGAGAAACAGACCAAACTCTCTTCTCATTAGTGGCTGGAGAAGTAGACCCCTGAGGCTGACAGGAGAGATTTCAGAGGGGACAAGCTGTAGTGTGTAATTGGGTCCATCCGGTCCATCTGGTCCTTCAGAGAGGTCACTTGAAGTCAGAGTTCTCCACAGCAATTTTCTGTAATTCATTTAGTTTTCTTTTTTACTGCTTGCTTCTTTTTTGGAAGTATGTTTGCAAGAGTCAGTTATCTTCTTAATTTTTTTGTTCTTTTCATTTAATTTTTCAAGTCCCTTATACCTTATTGTTACAGAAGAGCCTAAGTGTATTTTGTTTTTCTTCATCCTAATTCATGCAAACCCACACTGACAATCCTCCTTGAAAAAAAAAACCATTATAATAATACTTGAATAAGGGCTGTTTAAGACAACAACACAAAATCCTCAGCAGACTTGAGTGACACTCATCATCTCAAGAAAATATGGCAAGGCATTGTGGGTAGCGGTGAGAATTCCTGGCTGTCTCTGTCTGATTAAAATGTGATGTGTTGAAAGTTGGCTTTGATCTTAGGAAATGTCTGCGAGGGGAGCAGTTGGAATTTAGCTTGGGATTTTTCCCTCCCGCTCTCTCTGTGATTTGGCCCTACCGATAGATAGTGTCACCATTCATTTCCTGCTCAAGCTCCTACACCATTCTGTGCAGACGCTAGACCTGGATCAGGGATCCGAAATGAATAGATCACATGCCGAGCTTTTGTGGCTTGTGCATAGCTCTGTTTTCTTCTATGCTTCTCTCTAAATGTATGCGTGTGCTTTGGATTGTACATGCTCAGTTAACATGACATTTTGCAAATAACCCCAAAGACTTGGAACATCACACCCCACGGAATGAGTGGAAGAATACACCATATGAAAAAGACTCCTAATGTGCTTAAATGTTTTTCTTCGTCTCTGATTCCAGGCCCCCTGCACTGGCGGCCAGCCCGGCATTTTCTGATATCTCCCTCATCCGGATCTCGCCACATCGGAACCCTTCCGTGGGGGCGGAGTCACCCTTTAACCCCCCACATCCATACATTAACCCCTACATGGACTATATCCGCTCGCTGCATAGCAGTCCCTCTCTGTCCATGATCTCTGCGGCCAGGGGCCTCAGTCCTGCAGATGGTGAGTACCTCAGAGACCTGTTCTGGGCCTGCTAAAGTTGTTGTTAAATTGTCAACTTATTAAGGACCGTGCACAGACCTTTTGAGGGGCATGTGCTGAAACTGAAAAAGTTTTTTTGGGCACATCTTAATGACAAATTAAATAACACAAACTAATAGTCTCAAAAGCTTTAGATTTATTCACTATTAATAACCATAATAATAATAGCCTATAGTTTGAAGAAAAATATTTTATTTAGCTATTCTGCTTGGTTTTATAAGCTAATTTGTATTATGTTGTTTGCATGTTTATGTATGTCATTGAGAAAAGGGGAAGGTAAAACATTGAGTCAATTATTTTTGCCAAACTATTTTGAAACATAATTTAAATAATTATGTCCAACACAATTCCAGTCAATATAGGAGATTATAAGAAACTATAGCCATACCATCACTATAGCATATCCAACATGTATCCGCATACCTGGCAAAAACTTGATACTGTGGAGCACCATTGATGTTGGTCTCATGAAGGTCTAAAATAAGCCAGCAATAAACAAATTAATAAAATATTGTGAAAAGTGCAGTTGCAGTGAAAAGTTTGAATTGTAGAGCTCTCCCCTCCTAATAATATATATATATATATATATATATATATATACGCAGAATATTACATTCTGCATGATAAAATATAAAGATTTCGTGGTGATCTGATTCTGTAATGTTTTTTTTTTAGTTAATAAAACATTTACTTAAAACCATATTTTACTACGTTTGCATGTGAAGACAAGTGGAGAGTATAGAATAACAGATTAAGAAATTAGCTAGCTAGCGAATACATGCATATTAACAGCGTAAACATGAACCATGCAACCATATAGGCCTAATATGATTAAATGTTAATAAATTAAGTGTATCAGCAGTAATAAATCAAAACAATTTTTTTTTTAGAAATATATTTTAAGTTACCTAGGTGACGAGGATCACTCAGTCGCTTTGTGTCAAACTCAAATGCAGTTACGGGGTTTTTGACCTGCGATTGTGTGCAAATGCGCATTTGGTCCGTCAGTAAAACGGTGGCATCACATTACGTTTTTACCAACAGGTTAGAAAGTTTGCTGTAGCTATGGGTACTCAGTTTTACCTGTTGTAAAATACATTTGGCCAAAATCTAATTTTATGAGATGAAATACTACTGTATGGACAGGCTATTTAAGTGTATTGGCTATGACTAGATGGCAAATGTTAGCCCTTTCTCTCCGGTCCCTCATGTCTCATACCTAAAATACATAAAATATGAGCCTTTATAGTGTTTCTTGCGTAAAGCAAATGCTGTACTTATTCAAACAACAAGATCTTTATTTACCCTTGCAAGACTTCAGTTAATTCAGTCAAGATTTTACTGACAGTTTGAGCGGATCCAACAAGATTTAGTCACAAGCTCTTTTTAATACCTCTCACTGGCTTGTAAATATTTGTAAAACAGGCAGACAAACGTAAAGGGTGATAGCATTGATTTATTGAAGAAGAAAAACAAAAACAAACACCGCCACCAAAAAAAGGGCACTTCGGAGTGTAAGGGAAAAAAGGGCATAGCACACAATTCTAAGTATTAAACTTCTACACAAAACATGTCCTTCAGAAACTGATAATAGATTAAAAGTCTATCTATCTATACAGTTTTATCTATCATTCTGTCAATCTATCTGGTGAGGCCTGGGATAATGCAATCATATATCCCTAATATTATCTGTCTGTGGTGCTTCTCTCTGGAAGGTGAGACCATAGTTTGATCATTTGGCTGAGGTCACTCTCTTTGATCTTTGTCTCATGCCAGCAAACCTCTGGAGGAACATTCAACGTGTCAGGCAGAGTCTAGTGATCACATCCTGAGTTAAGATGGGGGTGAAGTTCAAGGCCATGGTTGAGGGCAGAGGGCACAAGAAGGGAGGGAAGGATGAGAAGTGGGAATGGTTTAGAAGATGGACTCCAGAGGCCTGACGGGAAGCCATTTTGGTTTCTTGTGTGAAGTCGGACTGGGAAATCCATTACAGGGTCAGCAAAGACAGCTGTTTTTAAAAGGTCTCTGCAGTATGCTGGCCTCTTGGCCTTCTCCTCAGGCATGGAGTTTTAATTGAAGCCTGAAGCACAAATACCAAAGTGGGGCAATCAGAGGGGCCTCATACAGGCCACAGATAATCACAACTGTATCGAACTGTGGTGCCATTTCACATCAGCCAGGTTTTACTACCTACCAAGTGTGTCAAAGGAAGACATGAAGCATTTCCAAATAGTTATTGACTATTCCCAGAGAAGAAACCTGAATAAGGGCTAAATTAAACTTGTTGATGCAATTTGGTTTGATGTGACTTTTTTTGTGGTCTTGGTAAAAAAAAATTTGTTGAGTAAAATAGATTATTTTGACAACTTGTACAAATATTTAAATTGCACATAAGGAAGTTTTTAAGTTTTTAACTCTTTAATAACAGAATTAGGTTTCTACTCGAATTTGTTGTATTTGAATGTAGGCATTCAAATGCAAGACTTCAGTTCATTCAGTCAAGATTTTACTGACAGTTTGAGCGGATCCAACAAGATTTAGTCACAAGCTCTTTTTAATACCTCTCACTGGCTTGTAAATATTTGTAAAACAGGCAGACAAACATAAAGGGTGATAGCACTGATTTATTGAAGAAGAAAAACAAAAACGAACACCGCCACCAAAAAAAGGGCACTTCGGAGTGTATGGGAAAAAAGGGCATGTGCTTTGCACAGGTTGAGCCCTACCTGTGCACGTGCCTGAACCTATTGCGAGCAGAGCAGGGCAGTGCACACAATTCAGTATTAAACTTCTACAGAAAACATGTCCTTCAGAAACTGAAAATAGATTAAAAATCTATCTATCTATACAGTTTTATCTATCATTCTGTCAATCTATCTGGTGAGGCCTGGGATAATGCAATCATATATCCCTTGAATGTAGACATTCAAATGGTGTCTGTAATAAATGGTGTCTGCTTGTTTTCATTAAATAATGATAATAATAACTAGATTGCTCATTGCGTTCTAAACTGCACCATATGTAGTCAGCGTTATTTCTCGGAATAATTTATGATATGTGAACTTATGAACATCTATTTCAGACTCTCCAAGATTGCGCAAATATGGCGTTTTACAGGCATTACCATTTCCATTTAAAGTTATCTGTATGTGACCCTGGACCACAAAACCAGTCATAAGTAGCATGGGTAGCCTGTATTTGTAGCAATAGCCAAATATACATCGTATGGGTCAAAACTATAGATTTTTCTTTTATGCCAAAAATGATTAGGATATTAAGTAAAGATCATGTTCCATGAAGATATTTAGTAAATTTCCTACTGTAAATATATCAAAACTTAATTTTTGATTAGTAATATGCATTGCTAAGTACTTAATTTGGACAACTTTAAAGGTGATTTTCTCAGTATTTTGATTTTTTTTTTTTTTTTTGCACCCTCAGGTTCCAGATTTTCAAATAGTTGTATCTCGGCCAAATATTGTCCTATCCTAACAAACCATACATCAATTGAAATCTTATTTATTCAGATTTCAGATGATGTATGAATCTCAATTTCAAAAAAATGTACCCTTATGACTGGTTTTGTGGTCCAGGGTCACATATATGTTCAATTAATAATTAATTTAACCAACGGTTAAGGTTGATGAACTC